TGATTCTTTCCTTCAATTTCGTCAATGCTTCCTATGAAATTTTCATTTTAGGTTGGTGGTTTTTTTTTCTTTTTAAAGCTTCATCTGTTCCAGTCATCCTACCAGGACGCCAGGGCTTAGATAGTGTGGGCATCTTGCCATTTGCCTTGCTTCCAATCATCACCAGGAGCAGCCATCCCCAGATCCTCCAGCAAATGTGCTTCCTGCTCATCCTGAGAGAGTTAAAGTACCACTGATGTGGAACTGCCCTGGCTATAGTTTGGAAGACTGGTAAATCAAATATAATCTCAATTTTCTATATCAGGGATGAGGAGCATATGGCCTTGAGACCATATGTGGCCCTCTAGGTCCTTGGATGTGGCCTTTTAACTGAGTCCAAGTTTTAACAGAATAAATCCTTTCATCAACGGAATTTGTTTTGTGAACTTTGGATTAAATCAAAGGGCTGCACTTGAGGACCTAGAGGGCCACATGTAGCCTCCAGGTCACAAGTTCTTCAACCCTGTTCTATAGTATCCACAATACCAATGGTATTAGCCAAAGTAAATTGCTATCACACTAGGAAAAGGAGAAAGTGCAGGTGTCTTTTTCCCAACCACCCCACATCCAGCTTCATTTTTCCCAACCACTGAACTAAAACACTGAGTCCTCAGCAGTTTAAGCATCTTGCTATCTGCTTTGCCACTGACCCTATTCCATCCCTAACCTCCCCTTCCCCCACACCTTAAACATTTTTTCTCAGAGAATAATAATCACATTGAAACTCCTTCTGTAAAAGGGTATGACAACATAGTATTTTATATTTTAAGAAGCAGTTTTGAGAAGGTATGAGCTGCCCATCCACACATTCTGCTCCCCTGTAGGACCCTCATACATAATTCTTATGTATGTTCACTCTCCCTAGTGATACTATTTGGGAGAGTGAGGCTTCTTTATTATATCAGGAGAAATAGTCTATTGCAAATATTGTGTCCACTGGATGATTAGAGTAAAACATCAATGAATCAGTGGGGACTTGTAAGCCGAATGCTTTTTGCATTGATAAATCTTATGGACTTTCCTCATACCTCATCCTTCTTGGTTTCTCTGAATGCTTTTACCCAGTTGACTATCCCTTTCTTTCTGGATGTCTCCTCTCTAGGTTTTCTTTATCTTGTTTCTCTCCCTACCTGATGAACTGCCTTTTTTTTTTTTGCCTCTTTTACAACAGCATCATTCTTGTCCCATCCTCTAGGGCTCTGTCCTCAGCCATCTTCTATTGCTTATTTCATTAACTTCTAAGGATTCATTTGTCGTTTCTCTGCAAATGACCCTCAAACTTACTTATCTAGTCTTCATCTCCCTTCTAATTTTACTCCCGCATGTCAGACTACTGGATGTCCCATAGGCATCTCAATCTACATGCCTAAAAACTGAATTCATCATTTTCCCTAAATGTACCTCTTTCCTAACTTTACTATACTTGTCAAAGATACTACAATGATTCTTCCAGCTACACAGATTCTCAATCTAAGAATCATCCTTGATTCTTCAATCACCCACCACCCATATCCAATTTGTGTCAAGTCTTACTAATACCATTTTTTCAATATCACCTGCATCTATCTATCCTCACACTACAACCAAAACCAGTTCCTTATCACATCTCACTTGGATCATTGCAGTAGCCTCTGATTACTTTTCCTACCTTCAATTTCTCTCTTAAATCTATTCTCCATATAGTTGCTAAATTGGTATTCTAAAATTCAGGTCCATGTCACTTCTTTTAAGAAGACTTCATAGTTCTCCGTTGCCTTTTGAATAAAATATGGGACACTGTCTAACATTTAAAGTCCTTCGCAGGGGCAGCTAGGTGGTAACAGTGGATAGAGTACTGGCCCTGGACTCAGAAGGACCTGAGTTCAAATCTAGCCTCATCTATTTACTAGCTGTGTGACCCTGAGCAAGTCCCTGAAGTTCGGTTGCCTCCAAAATGAATAAAGCCCTTCATAGTCTGGTTCTAAGCTATCAGTCTAGGCTGATTACACATTATTTTCCCTCATGTATTCTACATTTCAGCCAAAATGAGCTACTTACCCTTCATCTTAACATTCTGTCTCACACTTTTACACAAACTGCCCCTCTTTCCTATGCTTTTAACGCTCCCTTTCCTAATTTCTGCTTTTTGGAACACTTGTCTCCCTGCAAGGGATGTAAGCTCCTTGAGGGCAGGAGTCAACTCACTTTTTCTTTATTTCTCTAGTGCCTAACACAATGCTACAGTATGTTCTATCAAGTAGGACTTAATACTATCATATATTAATCACTACTTGATAGATCATACTCTAGCATATTTTGTTTAACAAATATTTGTTTATTGATTGAAGGGTAATCAAAATATATAGGCATTTTAAATGGCCTTGCCGCATGGATTTTTTTAAAATAAAAGACCAATGAATATAATAATAGCAGCAATGATAACTTGGTTGAATCAGTGAAATGACTGTTTTTATTTTTCATAGAATTGAACAATTGTTTTGACCGAATTGACCAAATGAATGAACTCTTTTTCTGGAATGTGAAGAGGACCTCACCTCACTTGACACAGTCCTGAACAGAAATTTGAATATCAATTTACTTCTCTCTTCTTTTTCTTTCTTTCTTTTTTTTTCTCTTTGGTCAGGCACAAATGTTAAGCTATTACTCATTATAAAGAATTTTACAAGTTTTCAAATGGTCAAAGATAGAAAGTGAGATTACAGGTGTTTACAAATTAACAGACCCCAACAGTTACATTTAAGTTTTTTTTTAAATGAGATTCTTTGAAGACCCCATCATTCCATCAGCATGGTTGGGTACCTGTCCCATCAAAGACCAAATTTCTTCATCCATCCTTTCTGATCCTAGACAATTCTGATGCCCAATGACAGTTTGGACGGAAACCTGGCTTCTCAGAGGGGATGCCAGGATGAAGAACAATCTCTGGAAGCCCCTCCCAATGTGGAAAAAACTTCCAGAACTTCTACAGTGACAGACCATGTCTCATTTGAAGATCAGCCCATCTAGCTAAATCAGGAAAGGTTCATCACCAGAAGGTTCACTAGCGAGGGAAAACTTATTTTTCAATAGATAAACTTATAAAATGGACAAAAAATGAAACAGAATTCTTATAAATACCAGGATAGATGGATAATAGTTATATAGAAAAATAGATAATAATATGTGGGTAGGAAGATAAATGGAAAGATAGATTTATTTGGGATACCAGAAAAAAAAAGTTATGGGTTGAATTAGTCTTTCCCTCAGAATTCTTAATAAACCTCTCTGTGCTACTTTCATTTTGAAATAATAATTTACAGTGGATATGAATTGAAGTGGTAGTTTGATACTGTAGAAAACAACCACCCACCTACTCTCTCCTTCCTCTTTCCTCCCACGACACTCTTTTTTTGGTTTATTCGCCTCCTCCCCACCCCCTCCATGATTGATTTCAAGCCCAGAAACCCAATTCAAATACAGAGCTTATTCTTAGTGTGTCATTTACCCAAAATGGACTAGTTTCTATCTATAACATAGCACCAAATAAATCCTGCCTCATGCATGAAGCGAAACTCTACCCTAACTCCATCAAAGAATGTAGAGATTCCAAGCTAGGTAAAGTTGGAAAGAAAATTTCATCGTAATATTTCTTCAGAAGCCTTTTGTTTTTTCTTGGCTTGTTATCTGTTTAAGAAACCTCTTATCAACTTCTATTATTCTTGTTTTCCATCATAATGTCTACCTAAATCACTTTCTGCTGACCCTAGTGGCATAATGCTTTAGAATCTTGGTAAGCTCATTTAAATCAGTTGTCTCCCAACTCATTCTGTCTTTTCTTTGCATATTGTCATAATGGTTGATGCGTCTTCATGATATTTGGAAATATTCAAGTGACTGAATTTTTCATTCTTTCTCCCTGGATGTTAGGCATCATTTAGACAGAACCTAAAGTTAAAGATATCAAAATTGGTCTGTGTGGCAAGATACTTTTATGTGAAAGTATTCTGCAAGTATACAGACATAAGGTGTTCTCATAAATCCTTTAGCACCTTGTGGGAAAATAATATTTGGTCCCTCAAATCAAACCCTTACACAGACCTTTCACAGTATCTATTTTGTGGTTGTCTACATGACACCAGATATCTGGATGAAAAGTGAAAACAAAATAAATAGCCCCATTCCATTGCCATGGTGCCGACAGTCTGTTTTTTTTTTAACTTTTATTTTGATTTCAGATGAACGCTGAGCAATCAGAGCAGCAGAACCTTGCCTCATGCATGCTGTGTTTTACCTCAGCTATGTCTACATGGCTGAAGCTGAATTGGACACAACAGAAACCAAGAGGTGAACCAATTAGCCATGCCCAGTTTCCACATCTCCACTAGACTTAGTATTAGTACTTCTGGACTCCCTGCTGCCATAACTAATCAGCTTGACTGAATCTTTCAGTCACATCCTATTTAGCCTTGAGTGTGGAAAATATGGCCTCAGAGGATAAAAGCAGATAAGCATTTTATGTCCAAGGTCCACATATTTACAGCCTGTGATGACTGCCATCCTCCTGGCAGAGTAACATCAGAGTAGGTAGTTATCCCTTTGTGATTCTTTGCATTCTAAATTCAATTATCAATTTCTCAGAGGCATAAGAAGCCTCTAGACAATTAAGGGAGAGATCCAAAGCCTACAAAACTATCTGATATGAGTCACAGCCGGGTCTTGTTTCTATCAGATTACAATCACTCAGTGCCCTAGGAGATCAGGAAAGATATAAACCATTTCCAGTCAAAATTTTCTAAGGTTGAAAAGGTCCTCTAGGGACTATTATGCAAAATGACCACTGAATAAGCTTTATTGGTTGTTAAACTAGGCAAACAGTTTCTTAATTTATCTTTCGGGCCAGCCAGGTCTTCCACTACCATAGAACTTCAGTCATCTGATGGTTCAATGAGAAGGAAAGTATTCACCTCCTTCCTCTCCCAAACTGCTGAAACTGAAGTGTTTAATTCTCTTTTGACAACTTTTTTAAGAAGGCTGGGTCTCTGAGGGAGAGGTGAAGATGAGGTCAGTGGAATTTTCCTTCATGTGTGTCTGTTTATCATTGGAGCAAGTAAGTTCCTGCTATGTAGAGGTCCTGAATATTTTTGAGTTTTGCTATGGTCCTGAAGTAAGTCTGTTATGAATTCTGCTGTCCGAAGGTTAAAGTAATAAGCAACTTAGCCAACTTTCTAGTTCTCTCCTCATTCAAAATTTTTTTAACTGACACAAATCCTTTTCCATTCTTGATAATCAGCCTAATTGCAGATTGTCCTTTGATCTAACTGAATTTCAAAATCCCAAATCATATGGGCACTTTAATAGAGCTGGCTGCCAGTGAAATGTGGACAAACTCAATATTGTACTCCTTTTCCCAGGGGAAAAGGAGTTATTCTTGTGCTCATTCCAAATTGCATCTTCATGCCCTTTACAGGATTCTGCCTGTGGATTTTAAACACATGCTCTATAGTCAATCTGTTAGTTAAGGCAATGAGATGGTACAGGAGACAGAGAGCTGGATGTGAGGTCAGGAAAAATTGAGTCCAAATGTGGCCTTAGCTATTTACTAGCTGTGTGACTTTGAGTAAGTCACTTAATCTCTGTTTGCCTCAGTTTTCCCATCTACAAAATGGAGATAATAATAGTAACTATCTTCTGGGGTTTTTATGAGGATAAAATGAGATGATAGTTGTAAGGCACTTTGCAAATTTTAAAGTATTACGTAAATGCTTACTACAAGCTAACTGTTATTCCCTCCCCCCCATGACCACACCCCACCCCAGCCCATTCCCTACTTTTTCTCTGACTCTAAGGCCATGTCACAGAAATGTGCTAGAGAATGAAGGCAATTGTCCAGACCTACTAAGCCAGGGAAAACAGAAAAACAAAACCCCCAAACCATCAACTACAACAAAAAACAAAACAGCCCTTCCCACTCTAGCATTAAGGTAATTGAGTTTTGTACAATTTAGATAAAAAATACTTCAGTTCTCCACTTCATTTGGCAAGTATAGATGTGACTAAAATTTGGTGATTAGTTCATTAAATTTATATTTGGCTTATAGGATCATAGATTTAAAGCTGGGAAGTACTTCAAAAGTCACCAAATCTAACAACTCCTCTTTATTATTGTTTGTTACAAATGAGGGAACTTAGTTATAGAAAAAGTAGAAGGACCTTATTTTAAAGGAATTTCCTTATAAAGCAGGGCCACAGTATCAAGTCCCAAGGTATCATTATAGCCAGGCATCAGCATGCTGTGCATACCTTATCATGTATGTGTCTATGTGCATATATACATATATACACAGATGTCTCTCTCTATATATGTTTACAAAATATATATATTATTTTATATGCATATTTATGTATTGTTATTGTTGAGTTATTTCAGTTGTATATGACTTTTCATAACCCCATCTAGGGTTTTCTTGGCAAAGATACCCGAGTGGCTTGCTATTTTCTTCTCCAGCTCATTTTACAGGTGAGAAATTAAGGCAAACAGGGATAAATGACTTGTCCAGGGTCACACAGGCAGTGTCAGAAACTGAATTTCAACTCAGGTCCTCCTAACTCTGGGGCCAGTGCTCTATCCATTGTGCCACCTAGCTGAACCTATATTTATATATACATATGTTATATATGCTTATGTAATATATACTTATATATGTATGTCATTTTATATGTACATGCATATTTAAAGATGTGCATATATACACATGTAATTATATACAGATATGAGAATATCATGTAATACTGTGTTCTAATAAGTAATATATAACACGTGCATGTATTATATAAATGCAATACGTGTATGTATAATTATGTATCAGTCATAAGTTGTAAACATTTTTCAAAGATATTAATATACAAGCATCAATATGTGTCATAGCTACTCACAGAACCTCAGCCAGGTATGCCTTAGAACCCCTGTAGCTTATTAGAAGGAGCTGAGGGCAAGGAATCTTTTAAAAGAGGACTGGCAGGTTGACCAGAGAACATATGTCCTCATCGCATGGTTTTTCCAGCAGGAATAAATGCCTGGATAATGGAGAAATGATAGTGGTTTTTTGAAGGTGAAAGAGATGGAAACAGAATGGTAACCAAATGACCAGTTCTCCCTGATTCTCTGGATACCAGATTTATTACTGCCTGGTTGTGTCCCCCTCCCCTGCCTCTATGTGGGCACATCTTGGAGGTACATTAACCTATACTTTGGTGATTGGGGCTTGTATGGTGAAACAGAAGCCAAGCATCATTCCTGATCATCAGGCAATACCAGCTAGAAACAGCTGGAACACAATATAACGGTGGCTCAGATGGAAGATCTATGCCAGATACATTCTGAATAAGGAGCTTCTACTGTGACCATATTCATGGCAGCAAGGAGAATGGGCATGGCTTGGTCTCTATTTTATTCCTGTCTCTTTCACTTTCAAAATCCTGAACCCTCTCTTTTATTTCTCATGGTCTCATCCCCCTTGAAAAAGTCCAGAACAATGAAATGTTTCCATTTTTCAATCTGTTCTTCTGGTCCCTTTTTAAAAAAATGGTCTCATCCCTCTTCTTCACTCATTAATCCATGGGTGTTATCATTGTTAATTCTTTGAGAGTAGGGGTAATTTCATTCTTTTTATTTATATCCCATAGCTGACAGAAGTTCTCAAACTTACTTAGCCTACTGCCCCCTTTTTTCAAAAAGAAATTAATCAGAGCTGCCCTGGAAATCTACTTTCTTTAACCTTTTAATTTTTTTTTTGAAATTTGCATCATTTCAAACTACTACCACCTGCCTCAATCTTTCTAGCACCCCCCATAGTAGCACCTACTTTGGGAATCTATGTGATATGGCACCTAGCACAATGGCAGGCCCAAAGTGGTAGTAGTTGATTGATTGGATGCTTGTGAACAGTGCTCAATGTTAATATTGAAAGTATGGTGTTGTGCAGCTGTATACCTCAAGGATATGTGATTTTGTGGGTACTCCTACCATCATGGATTACAATCCTTTTATGAATTAGTAGATGGTCCTTGAGACTTGCTGGTCCACAGATAATAGTCATCCATAGTCTATAACTAGAACCATTCTTGAAACTTTTTTTAAGTTTGGTAGGACCAGAAGAATTTGAAGAGCCTCAGAATAGCTTCTGAGTTGTGTCATCTGTATATAACAATCATTGTTGTAGGACTTTAGTAAAGGATTCTGTTATATACATAGGACAATTTTTCTTCCAGTGAGAATCTCAGAATCTCATAATTGGAAGGAATCTCAGTGGTAACGTCAATAGCATACTTGAACAAAAATATTAAGTGGTCATCTATCCATTGGTGGAGACATCTAATGAGGGAGCACACATAGCCTGTTAAGAAAGCACATTCTACTTTTGGAAGACTATTTATTAGAAAGTTGTTTTTTTTCTTTCTTACATAAAGCCTAAATCTGCCTCTTTGAAACCTATCTATTACTCTCAGGTCTCTCTATTAGAAGTTAGCTGAACAAGCGTAATCTCTCTCTTTGCTCTTAAATACTATAACTGCTATATGCCCATTAGTCTTCTTTTCTCCATAGTCCCTTGAACTGATCCTTCTCATATGACATGACCTCAAAGCCTTTTGGCATCCTATTTACCTTAAGGTCACTCTTCAGCTTGTCAATGTAGCTGGTTCTAAAATGTGATATGGGGGACCAAACATGACATTGTAGATATCATTTGACCAGGTCAGAGTACATTTAGACTATTGTCTTCCTACTCCTGTATATTATGAGACTCTTAATTCATGCTTGGATTTAATTAGCTCTTTCGGATTGTTTAGACAAAATATAATACATTAGATAGAGTCCTGGATGTGGAGTAAGGAAGAACTGGGTTCAAATTTGAACCCTGTCACTTAGTAGCTGTGTGTCTAAGGGCCCATCTGAAGCTCATGACACTATAAATGATAGCTAAAGAGGGATCTTGTGATCTGTACTAGTGGAGGGTTCCTGTTGTAATGAAATCACTGATATATTACAATTGCTGATTCATATTTACCCTGCAGTCCACTAAAATCCCAGATCGTTTTTGGACAACATGCTTTCTAGTAGCAATTAGATAAATTATGGTTTTGGAAGTAACATTTTACTAAGGGTATCAGGGTATCTAATATCTTCACAACAAATATTATGTTTACATAAAAGTAATACTTAATAAGCCACATCATTGCACTTGAATTCTGCCTGATTAGCCAGGACTCCATTGCAAAATGTTTGAACATTACATCTCTACTCATAGATATAATCACCTGTTTAAAATGCACCATTATAGTCCTCAAAAGGGGACACCACAGGAGACAGGGACAAAGAGTGACAGAATTCCATGGTTAATACCAACTTATGGTTAGTATTAATTCCAACCTGTGGCTAATCTTCCATTAAACGTCATCTTATTCATGCATAGGTCATGTTACACTGAGTAATAATCACAGCTTGGAGAAATGGCTTCTGATCCACCTGGGAGAAATCCTGGGAGCAGTGGAAGAGAAGCTAAGACACTTTTCTTCCCTCTCTCCCAGTTGGATATATTGCTCAGCAGTCTTCAAAGATGGAAAATTGAAGTAATGTTGTTCAAAATTTCATTACAAATATCAGCTGTCCAATATGACAAAAAGGTGCTGTTTCTTTAGCATTAGTCACTGATATTGTAATCTTAGCCAGAATATCGAAAAGAGTGGTATTTTTTTTTATCATGACATAACAAATGGTCAAAGTGGGAGCACAAGTATCAATTTGGTCAAGGAAGTTAGAAATTATTACTATTGTTATTTTACTAAGACATTGACTCATATTTTGTGGGGCTCCATGCATAATTTTTATAATGGAGAACTTCTAAGGTTTAGAGTAGAAACTTCCAAATTTAACATGCTGAAAAATCCACCACTCTACCCCACCAATGCCCTCTCTTTCCCTACACCCTGGGCATCCCCGCCTTTTTCATTGCTTCAAGGCTAAAAATTTCTGGGAAATCTCAGTATATACAACAGATGAAACAGTGAAGCAATCTTTCAGGGACATCAGGTTTTATAACAATCTTATCCTCCTAACTGGGATTAAAGATGGCAAAATGCTATCACAATTTCCAGAGAGCTTCTTTTTAAGGTTTTTACATGACTTTACATAACAAGAGAGTCTTTACATGGCTTATTCTGATTGTCCCTCTCCCCTTTAACTTTCTTTTTGGGACTAGAAATCTCGAAAAGTCTCCTGACTAATCACTGCCTCTCAGATCCAAAGTAACCTTTTAGTGTGGATCAGCTAGAAGCCAGTAGGACTGAAATAATTCTAGGCCAGTGGAGAAAGTTTTCCTAATGAGGGTTCTGTTATCAGGGAAGTCAAGCACTGTCTGGTTCAATAACTAAATAAGCGATCTGAGTCTCCTTAAGCCTTCATAACTCAGTGTTTTCTTTTTTCTTTTCTTTCCTTTTAAATTCTCTCCTTTTTTTTTTCAAATTTAGCTTCTTTTCACCTAACAATATTGTGCATTTAAGTAGTACTCCATAAGTTTTCAAAGTATATTTGCCTGCTACTTGAATGTTTTCTGTGAATTAGGAAGAACAGTTATTAAATAATCTTTTACATAACTAAGAAAAGTAAGGTAGAATGTGGCCAAATTCATGCAGTTAACAGATCAAAAACTCAGGCTCCTTTCCTCACATAATTATAGTAACATCAATGCCATTTCCCTACTGACATTTTACATTGGCAACAAGTTTGGAATACTTTATCAAACAGGCTAGTGACATTGCTGTGGTTCTCATTCATAATGTACACTGGTAGGAGAAGCCAGCATTTGCTTTTGAACTTGAGTCTAGAGTTAAAAGACCCAGATTCAAGTTCCAGCTGGGTACTGCTATCTAATTTGGACAAAGCACTTTTTAGCCGAAGGGAGACTTAGTTTTCTCAGCTGTAAAGTGGGGATAATAATATCTACCCAATCTACATTTAGGTTTCATAGACTAAATAAGATAACGAATGCAAAATCAGTTAATAAACTAAAAAATGCTATACAAATTATTACTTCCTACCTAATGTAGACAGCCACCAAAGTGATTCTGTTAAAGCGTAAATGTCATCCTCAATCCTGTTCAGTAAACTCCAAAGGCTCCTTCTTCTTTCTAGGATCAAATAAAAACTCCTCAATTGTCAACCTGATCCCTTCCTACCTTTCCAGATTACTTATTCGTTACTCTCTCCCATGTTCTCTATGGTCTAGCCACCCTGAGTTATTTGCTATTCTTCAAACAGGAAGCTCTATCTCTTGTCTCTTCTCATTTTTAAGGGCTATCCCCGATGCTTGTAATGCTCTTCTTCCTCACTTCTGCCCTTTTGATCCCCTGGTTTCCTTCAAGACTTACCTCCAGTGACATCTTTTTTGAAAAGCCTTTTCTGAGCTCTCTCCAACGCCCCTCCCCCCAAAAAACACAACTGCTAATGTCTTCTTCTCCATGATTACCTTGTATTTAATTTATATGTACAGTATATACCAAGGTATAGACATTTCATCTTCCGATTAGAATGTAAACTCCTTGGGGTCAGTGACTCAATTTTCCCAGCACATTGCACAGTTCCTGACACACAGTAGACGCTTAATGAATGCCCAGGCCATTGGGTAAATGACACATTTTCTTTTGAAGTTATACAATTCTAATGTAATCAAGAATGCTCTTCTTGTCCCTCTCTAGGGCATAAGAATTCTATAATAGAAGTGCTAACTGAATGTGTGCTCCTTAAATTCTTTCTCAGAACCACATTCCATGACCTCTGACATAGTCATGCCCAAGAAAATAGGGAAGGGGCCCCAAACTAGAGGTCAAAGATAGAACTATTGCTGACCTTGTGACACAGAAAACATTAGGATCTAAACCCTTCCACGTTTTCTGTGCCTTGGGCGTTTTGCCAGTGAATCCTCTGTATAAGACCTCCCAAGAAACACATACAGCACAAAAGAAACAGGAAATAGATATACAGGGTAATCCACCCAAGAATGCTACACCTTCAGAGATAGAATGCTCGGATATCAAGGGGGTTTTATTCTTTTGCTTTGCTTTCTGCCAACAAAATCAGTCATGCAGGAAAAATATCGAGGACATTTTAGGAACATCAGCTCAGAGATCTTGGTCATTTCTGACTATATGCTACATTTAAGGCTTAGAGGGAGAAAGAGAAATGCTTGCCCTTTTAAGGACTTTGCAGATAACTAACTGCTTTCTTACTCCCAAAGCCAGACTGCTCTGCCTTATTATTATGGCAAGATTATCATAAATTAAGAAATCTTTGAACAATTAACAATAATTCTCTATTATATTCACAAAGGCATGCCTTCAGGGCAGATATAAAGTCCCACCTACCTACTCTTGTTTCTTTCCCTCTGGCTTAATCTATTCAACTAAGTCACCCCCCACCAGCGTCTTACAAGTATCAAGACATTAGCTAGTTTACATCATGAACACACTAGCAATGTATAAAACAGCCTGTTTTCACTAATTGGGAAATTGAACAATCTTACCAGTGAGCATATCTAAAACCTTCCTTCTGAAGCCATTGGGTTCTAATTTCTTTGAGCTTCTTCAGAGCCAAATATTCAAAGAGTTATAGGTAGAAGAGCAACCAAAAGGCCATGAGAATTTTGATGGAAACTTTTATTGTCTATGAAACATACATTATTTCCAGAACTCTGTCTGAAATGGAAATCACCAAGGAAGCTAAATAACATTTATGTGTGGATTGGCTGAAAAGAGTCTAGAATTTAGTATTCCTAGGCCCAGGGATAAAATCCTACCACTAAACATCTGTGTGCACCAAGTACTATTGTGACCAATAAATATTCACATTAAGCTTGGCCCCACAGAGCCTATCCTCTATCTTCCTGATAGATCATTGCATAGTCATATCACTGCAGCCAAATGCTTCAATAAATGGCATCTAATAAAACCTCTTGCTAAATACTGAATGTCAACATGTAGAAAAATATAATATCGCCATGGCTTAGTTATCAACGTAATATATGTCATTTACTTTAAAGATATTCAGAGGGAGCAGCAATGCTTTTTTTTCCTTATTCTTTTTGGATGATTGGAGGCTTTGAGGAGATGAAGAGGAAGGAATCAAGATAGCCTCTCCAAACCCCATTCTTGAGCATCAAAAAGTCTCAACTTGAGTTGCAACAGCCTACTTTGCCTTTGATGTGAGGAAAATTGGATTCATTTAATGGCTATTTTAGGAAAAGGAAACTTACCAATGATTTCAGGATAACCAAATTTGGTAAAGCCATGAGAAGAAGAATATGAATTCACTGGTGATTTCTCAATGTAAAACCCTTTGGCTTAGGATGGAGGATAATCAGAATAACCCATGGTATTTTGGTCATTTGAAAGTGATGCTATTTTAGCATGTGGGTATCTTAACACAAAGATAAGAAACAAAAGAAGAAATCTGCTGTTCAATAGATTCAACCATTTCTAGAGTATAGTCCACAAAGCCAGAGTAACTCTGCCCTCAATGGAAGACAAACATGGAAATACCTGATATACTGAAACTTGTTTCTTAACAGTTTAGTGACTCTGTGGTGAGATATTCTGAATGATCAACTGAAGTGATCATTTTTGTCTCAGAAGCTGCCTCCCTCATCTCTGCAATAGGCTATAAGTGCATGTAGTCTTGGCTTGCTTCCTTACTCTCTGGACTATAAAGAAACTGGGTAATTGAGCTAGTCAGGGGCAGAAGGAAAGGAGCCAAGGTTACTGCCACCATCTTTATAGAACCATGGCAATATGAAAAGAGCCAGATTTGACATTTTCCACTATATTTAGCCATTCAGTCCTTTTTTAAACTAAGAATCATTATAATTCTTAAAACCACTGAATAATTCAAATACACATTCCAGATATTTGTAAATATATTTGAAAAACATTATCTTACTCTTGTAAATGAAGATAACAAAAAGCACTTTTCACAATTCTCAGCAATGTGCTCAGGAAAGATAAAAATTGGATCTTACAGCTGAAAGTTCTTTTGTCAAGTGAAGCATACTTGAGGAGAAATTATACCATTTAGTAAGAAACTCATACTAAATACTGTAGAAAGTAAAAATTACAAAATATTAGAATGGTGCTTCTTTATCATAAATATTTCTTATCCTTGACATTATATTACATGTGGCATTGTGGAGAGTGAGTCAGTCCCCAAATGAAGAAGGCCCGGGTTCAAGTCTTGCTTCTGACATATACCAGCTATGTGACCCTGAGCAAGTCATTCAACCTCTCATTGCCAACTGGCAACATTCTCTGACAATAGATTGCAGATAAGATGATGGGCTGCGTTAGTAGAAGGAACTTAATCACCTGACAGTTCCCTATCCCAGTGAAATCACAGGTCATTCTCTCATATTCTTATGACCTTGGGTCATATCCCTATCCTTTGAATGAATAAAAGTATAACATAATTTTTTTTGGAAAAGTCTTATTTATCTTGGCTAATTCTCATCTATTTTATGAGGTTCTACAAATACTTGTCATTTCCATTATAAAACTCAAACCATATTGAAGTTACTTTTGTGTGGGAGATGCCCAAATTGAAATAAGTTAATTAACATATATTTACTAAGTCCCTACCATGTGCCAGGAACTTTGCTAGGCACTGGGAATACAAAAGTAAAGAATGAGATGATCTCTACTCACAATGAGATTACATTCTAATGGGGGCAGGGAGAAACAAATACATGTAAAAATATATACAGCATTAATATAAAGTTTATGTATGTCTGTTGTTATAATCCTACACAGAGTGGTTAAATACAAGTTACTGTAGGAGGGAGGACAATACCTTTTGGAGGTTCAGGAAGGACTCCCTGCTGAAGATGGTATCTAAGCTTCGTTTTAAAGGAAGAGGGTGATTCTGTGAGGCAGAGGTAAGTAAGAAGTACATTCCAGGTTTGGGGAAACTCAATCAAAGACACCAGAAAATGAAGTGTAATGAGCAAGGAACAAAAAACAAGGAAAAGACTAGATTTGACTAGAACATTGAGGTCAAGAGTGAGAAAAATGGCCAATAAGTTTGGAAAGTCAGGTTGGGATTAGGTTGTGTAGCTCTTTAAAGGCTAAACAGGTTAAGTTTTTTTTTTAATTCTAAAGTCAACAGATGTTTGGATGGCTTGATCAGATCTGTTCTTAAGGAAAATTATATTGTGTCTAGGATGGCCTGGAGTGATGAGAGACTTGAGGCAGGGAGAGAAGTTATATGGCTGTTTCAATCATCTAAGGAGTAAGTAATGAAGGTCTGAACTAAGTTGGTAGATGTAAAAATAGAGAGAGGGTCTCAGAAGTGAGATGTCAAGTTTGACTATAATGAATATATGATGTGAAGGAGAGTGAGAAGTCAAAGATAAAGCCTAGATACTAGAAGGATGTTGATGTCTTTGACAGCAGTAGGGAAGTAGGCATAGCTGTGCCCCAGAGATGTACTTCCAGGATACATCTATCCACAATTTGGACCTTTTATAAAGTAGTCAAATTCTCTAAAAATTCTATTCTGATGCCCTAGAGAGGTTGGGAGGTGATCCTGGTTTCCCAAATGACATTCTAAGAGCATGTAAGCTCTAGCAGCATCTGCCACTTGGGGAAAGTTTTGAGTACAGCCCTGGCAACAAACATTTATTTTCTGTAGGTCATCCTAGCTATGGAGATGCCCAACATCAGTAGGCTGATTATTGGGTGATGAATTCTTTGACCGTGACAGCCCACCTAACAGGTATTGGTAAGTACTTTTGTTACTGATGTCAAGTTTTGTGAAAGGTACAGGCACTGGGATAGGAGGTAAGAGGTTATGTGGATTTTTTTTTAAAGATTAATTTGTTTTGACACAATAGAGACTCCAAGTAAGTATCCAAATCCTCATCAGAAATATTCATTGAAAATAGAAAAAAAATTTCTAAAAGACTGATTGTGATTGATAATACAGTACATATCATATGATACTTGTGTAGTTTGCATTCATAGACTGAAATGATGTATAACTTAATTTTAACAATATGATCCCAAGCTTATCTATTATATTTGACTTAAGTTTTGTTTCCTTTTAGTTTTGGCTTCATTCATATTCTTGGCATCATTGTACATGTTGTTCTTTGGCTATACAATTTTGCTCTGTATCACTTCACATCTCTCTTCTATGAACATATTTCAAACACTCTTCAAATTTGTTATTCTAATGGCAAAATGAAATTCCATTGCACTCACATACCACAATTTGTTATATGCTGTCTTTGGACATAGTTTCTTTCAAACTTTTTATTATTTTATGAGAGCCTAAGGAGAATATATACATATTTTTAAATTTTATTTTTAACACGTATTTATCTTCCCTCTCTCTTTTCCACCACTGGGGGGAAAAAGGGAAAACAAATACTTTATAACCAATATGCAGGGGCCCAACAAAAGAAATCCCCATATCTCGTTGTGCATATATTAAGTTTATCACCTCTCTGTTAGGAAATAGGCAGCATTTTTATTAATGGCATACTATAGAGTCATGATTGGACATTGACTTGAGACAATTGTTAAATCTTTCTAAGTTGTTTATCTATGCAATGTTTTCATTATATAAATTGTTCTCTTGGTTCTACTCACTCGAGTCTTCCCAGGTCTCTCTGAAGATGTTCTTTTTGTCATTTGTTATAGCATAATAGTAATCTCTACACCATATTTTTTTCAGCCATTCTCTAATTTATGGACACAATTTCTTTGGCACCACAAAAAGAGCTGCTATGAGCATTTTTGTATACATGAGTGCTTTTCCTCTTTATGAATATTTTCGTTCACTTAGGTCCTTCTTGCTGTCACTGACTTCCTTGGTTACAAACCCAGAAGTGAGGACTATTGATAGGGAAATTAGCACTGACATTTGGGACAGAAAGTCAGTGATTGTGTTTGAGAGAAGTGGATTATGTTTACAAGAACCAGTACATTTGTTCAAGAAAATTTCAGCATACTTGAGAAGTCTGTGTGTGTGTGTGTGTGTGTGTGTGTGTATCTATGTACATTTGTATGTGTGTATAAGTATAAAGATTTGGTATTCATGAATCATAGAATCAATGTGTTAAGTCTGCACCATGGGGTTCCAGTAACTGTGTTGGAACTTGGTAATAGTGTGCATGCATACAGCAGAAGGTTGGATTGCATTTGGGTTCTTGTCCTCTCTACCATGTGAAGCAATTGGGGAACAGTGATAAGAGCACTCCTGGAATTTGTTCATAGAGCAGAGAGAATGGGCACATTTTCTGTAGTGTCTGCAAAGGAAGAGTAAACGCCTGGTGAGGCTCAAGGGGACCTAGAACATGACTAGTTAATGACAATAGTATGATTATGTATGATATCCACCAGTTTTTTCAGCATAATCATTGTTTTTCTTTTAAGATCAAATAGATTCTTATATATTGTCCTCTCTGCCAGATCCCATTTACTCATGTTACATGATAGATGATGAACTGAAATCTGTCTCCCTATGTAAGGAACAACCTTCTAATAATTTGAGTTGTTCAAAAATGGAATGAACTATTGCATGAGATAGTGACTTTCCCAACACAGGAAGTATTTCTGCAGAGGAAGTATTTGTGTAGATGACTACCTACCTGTTTAAAGATATCATGAGGGAATGTGTGCATTGGTTGGGAGGATGGACTAGATTATGTCTTTGAAATATAAGATATGGTAATTCCATGAAAAAGAAGTAATTATCTGGGGATTCCGCTTAAAATGAAATACTCAGTAGATGTACCTAATTTTTAAAATGATATTTTAACTTTGCCTTAAGATATAGTCTATGTTGGTATGATTACATTGCTTCTTAATTTTTAGCAAAAATGTTGTAATGCAATTTTTTCACAAAGTAGCCAAGATATTCCAGTTTTTAATAAAACATGCTATTTTTACACCAGTAGCACAGGCTAACCTACTTTTATAGAAATTCCATCCTAATAGTCTGTTTTGGAATGGGTGTCCATATAGAATATTTCAAATGAATTTCATTTCCTTACTTTGACTTGAGAGCACTTGAATTCATAAAATTATTACTATACACATTGTAGTAAGAGTTAAACAAGGCAGACAGATGTTGGATACATTTACTTTGGATGACTCTTCTAAATGTCCTTTGATTTTTACTTACTCATAAATAATTAACCATTTTCTCGCTGTGTGTCAAGTAAATGTGGGTGAAAAGGAATAAACATACATATGATTATAGATCTTAAGATAAAATTAGATACTTCTTACATACTATTTTATCCAAACATGCCTTTCAAACAAGTTTTTTTTTTAATTTTGTTTTCTTTTGCTACTGAGGCTGGCTTTATATATAGGTGGAATAGGTAGTCACCTACATTTCACATTGGATGGATTCCAGGAACCTTCTGTTTTGTTGTTTATTGCTGATGCTTGAAATTCCATCATTAATGATGCATTCTCTTATTAAACACTCTCTTTTAAGATCCCAATATTCCTAAGAGGTGGTATTTTTAATGGTTGGCATCTAGGTGTGAATTAGTTTTATCAAATACTTTTCTTAGAAGGAGGCCACCAAGCAACATAATAGAACTAGGTACTTATTTAGAAAAAGGGATAGTGAGAAGGAAGAAAGGGGTACAGGAAGAGGTAGGGAGTATGCCAAAGGAAAACGTGCCTTCTTCACAGTTTTGCCCAGGGCCCACCCTGCTACCATATGGAGGCAAAGTTTTTAATTAAAATGCTAATTTGTTGAAATAAGACACCCCAGACAGTCTATTTGCCCCAGGGCAATATAATGTGACCCTGGACTAGGTTAGAAAACACATATCAGTATAACGGGGATTCTCCTGAATTAAATCCCAAGATGCTCCTGATCAGCATTTACTTTATTGAGGATGCTTGTGGGTTGATATGAACTACTTTTACCACCACTGGTTGGTCAGTGGCTGTGGGAGAGATTTTCATGAATATAATAAGGAGCAGCTTGTGGATCACCTGGACAGTAAAAGAGTGGAATGGGCTACCAAGGGTTGCTATGGAATTGCTGTACATAGCAATAGGAAATTTTCAAGATGGAGTAGATATTCCTGGATACACTCTGACTAAAGGTTGACTATCTTGTGGTTCCTTTCAGTACTAAGATTATCATTTATTATCAGATAGTATTAATTTTTATCATTAACCTCCTTGAGGTTCAGTATATTCCTAATAGTGAGATTTCTAGTTAAAGAGAATGGACATTTTAGTCACTTCTATAATGTAATTCTAAAGGGTTTTCCAGTATGGGTGTGTAAATTCACAGCTTTACTGAAAAAACATTAGTGTGCAAGGGTGGTGGCAGGGGGAGGACTGGCATTAGAAATAAGGAAGGTAATGGCACACATCTGTGATCTCTGCTACTCAGGAGACTGTGACTGGTGAATCTCATGAGCTCAGGGACTCTGAACTGAAGTAAGGCCAATTGAGTGCTCACATTAAGTCTAGCAGACACCAATATGGGGAATCTGCAGAAGCAGGGACCACCAGGATGTCTAAGGAGAAGCAAACCAGTCAAGGTCAGAAGCAGAAGAGGTCAAATCTTTCTTGCTGCTTAATGATGGGGTTGGGACCATAAGAGGCTGCTGCCTTTTTAGCTGGAAGATATACGGTGACCAAGTATAAATACAATACAACACCACAAAGACAGTATAAATGGAGTAATACATAAAAACACTAGAATGATTGGACTTATGTAGCCATGGTTATTTAGATTGGGTCTGCATGAGATCATGATATATGAAGATCATTTAAAGTGACTAGGGATGCTCACTGAAAAGAAGACTACAAACTTTTTGAAAGTGGGGACTATCTTTTGCCTTTCTTTTCATCTCCAGAATTTAGCACAGTGCCTGATAAAGGGGGGAACTGGAGAAACAGAGGATGCGAAGTGGGGAGTGCAGACAAGGAAGCTAACTTTACATGCTTAGAAAGCTGTTATATAGAAATGGAATTAGCTTCTGCGTGGCTCCAAAAGACAAAACTGGAAGCAATGAGAAGAGCTCCATGGAAGAAGATTTAGATTTGGTATATGGAACATTTTTCTGATAATTCAAGCTATCTCGAAGTGGAATGGGCTATTTTGGAAATTAGGGGGCTATCTTTTTATAAAGTTCTTCAAGCAAAGACTGGATAACCATTTGTTATTCGTACATGTTATGGTAAATATTCATTTTTAGGTAGATGTTGGGCTAGATAACTTCCATTCTGGCTCTGAGAATCTGCAGTTTTCTATATACCAAATATCCCGAAGAAAAGTGGGACATTGAGGCAATCTACTGAACTGTTCCATACATTTATGGATTTGGCATATGGTAATAAGCCATCTAAATGACCTAACTTCTATTTTTCATCTGGATACTTGGGCATACCAAGCTACAGCCAAAAATCCATCATGACAGATTCTACAAATAACAGCATATTGCTTTATAACATCTAATCCTCATACTAATACAAACCACCCTGTACCACTTCAAAATATACATACGTATATACATATGTGTGTGTGTAAATATGAAAGTGTCTGTCTATGTGTGTATGTATATATGAATAACTAAACACACACACTTCTTTCTGGTACAGTAGAAAGATCACTGGCTATAAAGGTCAGAGAATCTGGGTTCAAATCCTGGCCCTGATACTTACTACCTGTGTGACCTTGGGCAAGTCACTTTGCCACCTTGGGCCTCAGTTTTCTCATCTGTAAAATGAGAGGATTGGACCATATGGCCTCTATAATCCTTGTGAGATCTACATTATGTTACTGTGAAGAATGTAAGAAAAAAAACCTATAACGTGATTACTATATGTGCGAAGATGCTAAGCACTAGGTATGAAACAGCAAAGCAAAACAGTTCTTGCTCTCAAATCACTCACAAGTATAAAGGGGGACTACATGTGTGTGTATGTATATACTGCACTGCATGTATACTGTATATGTATATGTTATATGTGAGATTCCAGCAAGTAAGATGGAAAGAGCTGTATATATACCATATATATACTGTATGTATGTTATATGTGAGATTCCAGCAAGTAAGATGGAAAGAGCTGTATATATACCATATATATACTGTATGTGTGTATATTATATGTGAGATTCCAGCGAGTAAGATGGAAAGAACTGTATATATACCATATATATACTGTATGTGTGTATGTTATATGTGAGATTCCAGCAAGTAAGATGGAAATGGTCCTTAAGGTATAGAGGAAAACAGAGCATAATGCAGCTTCTTAATGTGATTTCCGTGAATAAAACCAAATCCATTTCTGATGTTGTACCATTTGAAAATGCTAAGGACTTTGGTGTCAAGTCTTTCTTTTCCAGACCTTCAGTAGCTGTATCTGCCAAGGAGGCAGAAGCTATAGCAACTGCAGAGTAAGTGTCCAGGACCCAACGCTACTAGTCTTACTTCTTTGGCCTAGAGGGGCCGGGCCTGGGCTGGAAGCTGGGCCAGGGGTTTCTAGGATGCTGTCATTCCCAGGCTGGTTTGCCTGATGATCAGTGGCAGTTTAGCTGTTGCTACTGGTATTGGCAGTAGTGATGGTTGCTACTTTCTGTACAGGGTTTATTCCCCTGGATGATGGCTGTAGAGACCAGGCTAGAAGAAGGTCCAGTGGGACATGGAGCACTACCATTCCCAGAGCTCATGGGGTTACTTGACCATTGGTTGCAGTTGGTCAGTAGGTGGTATTGGTGATTGAAGTGATAGCAAACATCTCCTTCCACAAGGGTCATGCTGGTAAATGTTTAATGACTGCCTGTGTGGGGAAGAAATTACACATGACACACTTTAAATTTAATTTGCATTAATGTTTTTTTCCCACCTTTTTTTTTTTGGCTAGGCAATGGGGTTAAGTGATTTGCTCAGGGTCACACAGCTAGTAAGTATTATGTGTCTGAGGCTGGATTTGAACTCAGGTCCTCCTGACTCCAGGGCCAGTGCTCTATCCACTGTGCCACCTAGCTGCCCCTCTTGCTTTCTTAAGTTTAGATAATCAACAAAACACCAAATCAAGCTCTGATGTGTAGCAATTGCAGACTTTCATTTTGGCAACTGGTCCCTTTATGTCCTGGCAAACAGAGGAGAAGAAATAGAAGCAGTGTCAGATTTTATATTCTTGGGCTCAAAGATCACTGCGGGTGATAACTGCAGTCATGAAATCAAAAGACACTCCTCAGAAGGAAAGCTATGGCAAATCTGGACAGCATACTAAAAAGCAGAGACACCACCTTGCTGACAAAAGTCTGTATGGTCAAACTATTATTGTTGTTGTTGTTGTTGTTGTTGTTATTATTTTTCCCAATAGTAATGTATGGCTATATGGAAAACTGAGTGCCACAGAATCTGCACTTTCAAATTGTTCTGTAGAAGAGATCCTGGGATGGCAAGAAGATCAAATCAGTCAATACTTAAAGAAATTATTTCAGACTATTCACTGGAAGTTCAAATATGGAAGCTGAAGCTTAAATAACTGGACCACATGATGAGAAAACAGAACTAATTGGAAAAGACCCTGATGTTGGGAAAGATTGAAGGCAAAAGAAAAAGGAGATGGCAGAGGTCAATAGTGTCATGGAAGCAATGAACATGAACTTGGACAGACATCAAGAGATAGTTCACAATAGATGGTCCTGGCATGCTGTGGTTCATGGGGTCACAAAGAATCAGATACAACTGAACAACTGAACAAGGTACAAGTGTTCAAACTGAAAGTTTAACAATTGACTTAAGAGCCACTTCATTCTGCCTCCAGCAAACCGTTGTTTGTACCCCTTTGATAATCACTCAAACACCTGAGTTGGAAATAGTTCCACTCATCTGTAGGGAAACTGCTCTTCCCAAGACTCTGGGGCTCAGGGTCTTGGGCTGTCTTTATGAAGATCAAAGAGGAGGTGGTGGTTTGATCAGCCTGGCATATACTGCCTCCTGTCTCTCCTTCAAGGTACCTTGCTACTTTACCTAGGCTAGATTGCCTGTTCAATGATGATGAATATAAAATAGTAATATATTAAGATAGTAGATACCATATAAATACAGTGTTTATTTATTAGATTGTATACCAATGAAATAGATTTCCAAATATCTCTTGGATTAACTATGCCCTTAGCCACAATGTTAAAATTCAGCTGATCGGATGATTTTTTTTTTAAGCCAACACACTATTTCTAAGCAAAGAACCTTTTTTCTAATGGGTGATCTTGGATATAGAGCTGGAAGTAACATTTGATTCCATCTAGTTATCCAAATCCTTCATCGTACAGGTGAGGAAATTGAGGCTTAAAGACATGAAGTCATTTGCCCAGGGTCAAAGTGACAATGAGTAGCAGAATTGGAATTCAAATCCATGCCATCTGACTCTCTACATTGAGCCTTCCATCTAGCACATCATATTTTGAAGTAATGTTTTTGGAAGGGGATGATATTTCTCTGGTGACATCTTCTTTCAATTCTTCTTTCATCAGTCATTGTGCTAATGTACTAATGAGGATATTCAAACTTGCTCCTTTTTGTCTGGCAGTAAAAGTAATTATGAAGTCATTTAGTAGTTTTCCTGTAGGAGGTGAGTTAAAAATCACAATCGATTACCTTTGGCATTATTTTACTATTCTCACACTAATTTAATAGGCTGTAATTGAGAGTCAATGTGTAATAGTGAATCAAGGGCTGGCTTTAGAGTCGGAAGTCCTGGGTTCAAGTCCTACCTTGGATGACACATAATGGCTGCAGATTTAACCTCTCAGCACCCCAGGCAACTCTCAAAAATTATAAATTTCAAAGCAGGTTCAGATGGGCACTGGCAGAGAGAGTCCCCTGAAGGGAACTCCCTATGGCAATGAAATCGCTAGTTTGCTTTTTTCCCTTCTGCTTACCTCCACCCCTCCAAAAAAAAGTAGGAAATTGCCATTGAGGTATGTGTAAAATAGAAAATAGAGAAAATATGTGTTCACTCAGCATTTAAAAATGAACCTTGTCTCTCATCAATCCAATTCAATTTTAAATTGTTAGCAAGCAATTCCTTTTAACTGCTTAAAAAAAAGTTTTGAACAGATGTTGCTTGTGTTGCACCATACAGATGATCCATTACAGATTATAGGACAATGAAAAAGAATCCTATGCCAAGGCTAAATGGAGACTCTCCGTTGAGGGTGCTCAGTTCCCACCCCCAGGAGTTAAATTCTGGGAATAGACGTTAGGAAATCTCATTCACTGTTTTCTTCAAATACTATCAATTCCAAAGGCTTTAGGGTCAAGGAACACCCACTTCCTGTTGACAAGCTGAGGAGACTACAAGGGTTTGGCAGTTTGAAATGGACTCTGCATATACCGAAATCCCTCCCAATATAGTTGTGTGTCAGGATTAGAATAAACTTCAAACATCAGTGTCATTGAGACACATAGCAGAGTCGTTATACACTGTGAAGGAAACAGTTTCCTCTCTTGCAAATCTGAACTACAAGGGGGATTTTTCAGATAAGTATAAAGACTCAAGGCATACAACATGAAAGCACAAGGAAACAGAACAAGTAGAAATGCAAATTCCTCAGAGCAATCATCAGTTGGAATGTAAGAGTAGCTCTGGGGATATTGAACAGGATACCAAATGTCACAGATGTTATGTTATCAAACCAATAAAGTAGTTGATGAAGGAGAGACAGGTGCATGAAAATGCCAATTTATGATGCAATAATTGGCTAGAACTCTAGCCATATATCTACTCTCTCACTCCACCCTTCAGCCAGGTTGTTAGATTAAACCTGGAGTCAACATGTTGCTTTCTCTGCCTATATCAACCTTCTTTGACTTCTCTGGATGACCTCTCCTTAAACAACAGATCCCTGCTTTCCAAGCACCCCTCTAGACAGACCCTGGACATCTGCTTCCTAAGGAGTAAGTCACTAGCCACTAGGTCTACTCTCTGGACACCCTTCTGTTCTCTACAGGACAGGTCACAGGTTGTTTGACTTTCCAATGTCTTCCAGCCAATTTATGTTACTTATCTGACTCTTGACTATAATTTCTGTTTCATTTTCAAAGCACGTGGAAAAAGTGAACCAAACATTTAATACAATAATATTAAGAAAGAGATAAGGAATGAAAGAGAAAAGAGAGAGAAAAATAAAAAGGAGAGAGAAAAAGACAAAAGTACCTCATCCAAAAATAGCAGGCTGAGGCTGCTAATGCTAATAGCAAAAAAGCGCTAATAAAGGGACTCCCTCAGCCAAAACAAGAAAAATGTAGGCTCTTTCCATACTATACCTTTCTTTTATTCTCTGGTTAGATTATTATTATATATCCCAATCAATCTGCCCTACAAGAATCTCTAATTAGGCACTTGTTTAAGATGAGATATTGTTTGCAAGGTTATATGCTTCTCTTCCTTTCCTAGGAGAAGCACTCAGTCACAGCAGTGCAAGGTTTGGTTGACTGATTAATTGATTCCTATTCATAGAGGACATCTTGTCCAATCCAACATGAAACAGTTTCAAAGTAATTCCCGTGTATCGGTTTCTAGTTGCCAGGGACACAGTAGAAAGCGGAAGGAAACCACTAGCCCTAATCTAGACAATAGCAAGAGGTAGATGACTTTCTGTTACAGTTCAAAGTGAATAAAGGAAAAATAAATGTTCTTGATAGCTACCTTTCTTCTGCCTCTTAACTAAAGCGCTGAAGATATGGTATTGGTCTCCTCTTCCCACCCCCTTCATATGGGCTTAGACAAGAAAAGATGATGCTAATGGAAAAGCGAGAGCAACAGGAAACTGCTTCAGCAGAAGGGAGAAGAAACATAACAAAGAAGAAGTTAATGCTAGTTCCAGAGGTGAGGTACAGCAGCTAATGAGGCATAGTGAAGCCACAGCAAAGCATCACAGACTCTTAGAAGACACAGTCATGAATTCCAACCATGCTAACCTTACCCACCTTGGAGCATAAGTTGTCTAAGGAGAGTTCCTTTCTGTGCTAATGTAGGAGTCAGAGAGATTTTACCCCTTCTTATAATGGGGAATGAGAACAATTCTATTACCTGATTTTCTTTGCTATTTGCTGCACTATGGTATCCTGGTTAAGTACTGTGTTACTTGACTTATGAATCCTACCTGGTGTGTTGGCAGAGAATGCCCTGGATGGGGACTAGGGCTGCATTTTCCTGACAAGGGATTTTCCAAAACCATCCACACTAAATTTGGCATTCAAGAATCATGTACGCTGCATGCTCCACTAAAAGAAAAGAAAAGAAATAATTCAAGTGTATCAAAGAAGCTGTTTTACCTTTTTTTGTTGCTTTTGGTTTACTTTAGGGTTGGATATTATTTGGTATGCTGAAAAAGTAAGACCTACTTTTCAAATAAGATCTGCTCCTACTCATCTTCACTTGATTTAACCTTCACTTGATTTAAATAATTAGTTCTATCTAAATGGCCATTTAGATAGAACTAATTATTTAAATCAAGTGAAAATACAAACCAAATTGTGACTTTGTTGACTCCTTGTTTATATTAAGGGTGTGTGAAATCTTAGTTGACTATAATATTAGTCCTTATTTCTTATTGTTTGTTTTTTAATTTTTTTCTGCCCTTTCTCTTCTATTCAAGCTTTTAGAATCTCCAAAATAAGAAAGGGATGCCCACATCTATACTTTGGGCCAACCCCATTCATTACTATTTGTATTTTACCAAGTCCCATAAAGGGGGTAATTTACATCTAAGTTTTTTTTCCCCACTAGATCCTATTATTTCTGATGTAAATTTAAAATGCTTTAACCTTAACATTTTAGATTCTAGAATTCTGTATGGATTAAAACCATAATATTCTTGCTGGTGGGGGGAGGGGAAAGGGAACATAAGGGTGGGTAGGTGTCAAAGGTTGTCTTTATTTTGTTCTAGATTATATACAAGTAATATCTCATTTTTCCATAACATTTATTCCAAGAGACTAATAAGCAAGGAACATAGTAAAGGTGTTCACTACATGGTTAAATAAGTCATGCATTACATCTTCTACACAGAGAACTTTTGATCTTTCTCCTTATCGCTTTGTCTTAGCTGTTCCACCAGAATGAGCTGAAATTTTGCTGAATACTTTCAGATAGCATAAGACACTATTTAAGGAGAGAGGAGAGGCAAACATGAAACTGGAATTTTCATAACAAAGAAAAAGATAAAAGAAAATAGTTACCCTTTGTTTAGTCTCTGTTAGAGAACAAATACTCATAATTAAACTGTAACTGGAATCAAAATGTAGTTTGGGATAAACAACCTAAATGGCCTCCAAAATAAATTACAGTACTCATTTCTCTATTGTTGTGTCTTCCTCCTCTCTATCCCTCCCCCTTCTCTCAACCAGTTTCACCAGGAAGCAGGACTGTGTGGAGCCTGGCCTTGAATGTCACCACTAAACAGGTCCTTTTATACCAACATGCTTAACAATTTGTTTGGTGCCAGCTACTTGCTCACTCCTTGGAATTATTCCATGTCCTTGCTAAGAAGAAAGATAAAAAAAAAATGCAACTGGGCTTTGGTATGTTTGTGTGTGCAAGTATGTATGTATGCATGTTTGTGTGTATATCTGCATGTGTGTAAGTTTGTGTGCATGTGTGTGTGGGTGTGTGATGCTCACAGTGCATCTACAAATAGTTATCATAGCCTAGGAAGCCTTTTCAAATTTTAGTTGTGCCCAAACTAATGATTTCTAAGACTATTTAAGGGAAATTTTCAGCTCTAATTTCTGTAACATAGCTCCTGACTTCATAGAGAATCTCTCTCTCAGTCTCTCTCTCTCTCTCTCTCTCTCTCTCTCTCTCTCTCTCTCTCTCTCTCTCTCTCTCTCCCTCTCCCTCTCTCTCTCCCTCCCTTTCTCTCTCTCTCTCTCTCTCTCTGTCTGTCTCTGTCTCTGTCTCTCTGTGTCTCTCTCTTTTTCTCTCTCTCACACACACAAACACATAAGCTAGGAACTTAAGAAATTTAATATATTGTCATGTCATATATTTAGCTGTAATATACTATTTGACATATTTCTTATGAAGACAGAAAGGTATAATATGCTAGAGTGGAAGATTCTTATGCTGTACCTCTAGCTCTATTACTAATTAGCTTAGGTACTTGACATTAATGGACCTTAACATTCTGAGGATCATTAAATTTAGATTTGGAACTGAATTAGGGGTCATCTAGCCTACCCCCCTCCCTTATGGAAACCTGGGCCCAGGGAGGTCAAGTTAATTTCCCCAAAGTAGTAAGCATCATAATCAATACACAACTCCAGGTTCTTGGACTTCATATCCAGTGATCCATTCCACATGGGGTTCATTCCATATATGCTGCCATAGTATCTTCCTATTACCCCATCAAATTTTCCTTCAACTTGAAAATTGTCCAAATAACAAGAACAAGTTTTATGTTAGTGTAAGCAAAATATCAGTAGGAAGAAACAAATGGCTACTGGAGAAGGGATAGATGATACATTCTAAAGTCAAATATTGATTTTAGATTACATCTAATGTTAAGGATTATTTACATCATTACTCTCCATGATAACACTGATAAATCTTTCTGATAACAAGTTGACTCAAACAAAATCTCCAGAATTTGTGCTAAATATGGAAAAAGCCAAAGTATATTAATAAGACCAGGGTATAATAATTTTTAAATCTTAAATGCAGATAACTTTTTTAAAAAGTAAATTTAGTTTTATATTTGTATTCTTCTAGCTCTAACATGCCTTAATTCTGGAATGATTGAGAAATACATGGTAGTTTCTGCCATCACATAAAATTAAACAATTCATTGAAACATCTATTAAGCTTCTGCTCTGTGCTAAGTATATAGGGATACAAATGCCAAAAAAGAAATTCTATTGGGGGATCCAATATGTTCCGTACTGTGGAATTCTACTAATATTTGTGACTATCCTTATGTAGATTACTCAGGATTGGTATATTCAAAAACTGCATGGTGCTTATAGAAGCATTATTAAAAAAGCTCTGGCTCATTTTCCTCTCCTGATTATAAAACAAAGCTATCCTTAACCAATGCTGCTTCTTGGGGATAACTTATAATCAAGGGTATGTTGAAAAATGTTTCAAGTTTAATTTACATTAATAATATTTTCTCAATCACTTTATTAAGTCTAGCCAATCAAAAAATGGCAAGTCCTATTTTGTATCATTTATCAATTCCTAAGGAGTAAATGCTCATGCTGAAATTTGACAATCAACTCTCAGAAGCCAGTTCTAGCTGCCACCAGTACATTTCTGCCTATAAATCTATCTAGGTTCTTTCCTTCCTTCCTTCCTTCCTTCCTTCCTTCCTTCCTTCCTTCCTTCCTTCCTTCCTTCCTTCCTTCCTTCCTTCCTTCTTTCCTTCCTTCCTTCCTTCCTTCCTTCCTTCCTTCCTTCCTTCCTTCCTTCCTTCCTTTTCCTTCATCCCTTCCTTTCTTTCTTTCTCTCTTTCTGGTAGTTGTTATTTATTTGTTTCCTTGTTCCTACTGCATATATTGCTTTGCCTCTCATGGACCAAAAGAGACACCTGAGAAATTGGATCATCAGTGGAGCAGACTGGCATATGCATCATTGTATCCTTTTACCATATTCAGTTATTGATTAACATATTATTGATAACTCCTCTAGATTTAAGAAGGGTATATCCCTTTTTCTTTTCTTTTAAATACATAAATAGACCAATTTAATATCCATGGTATATTGGATATTAGTTTTTCAGTGAACTCATTATTCCAACACTCAATTCTGTGTCTTTGCACAGGATATAAAATGCCTGGAATAAAAGTATTATACATATCTCATTCTACCTCTGAATGACGAATTTTGAGTTGGAAAGGACTTTTGAACTCAACTCTTAATTTTTATTGTTTTTGTGGTTTGTTCCTTGACCCATTCATTATTTAGGGTTATATTATTTAGGCTCCATTTGTCTGAATCCTTTCTTCAAATTCCCCTAATTGAATATCAATTTAATTGCATTGTTGTCAATGAAGAAAATGTTTGATATTTCTTCCTCTGCATTTGTTTGTATCATTATGCTTTAGTACATGGTTGATTTTTTTAAAATACGCCTAAGATTTATGCACACTCCTAATGATATCCATTAAATAATCACCAAAAATACATCATAACAAAACTTTAAAAGACTGTATTCAGGCCCTTAATTTCTTTATTATTAATCCTTTTTTTAAGACTTGCCTAGGCCTAAAAGGGACACATTGAAGATCCCAATAATCTTTGTTTTGCTGTATATGTCTCTGTAAAGTTTAATTCATTTTTCCTTTAAGTAGTTAATGTTATCTGAGTTGTTTGCCTGCACTCTGCAGACAAGCAAGCCAAAAGCCTTCTAGTACAAGCAGCCAGAGACAGGTATAGGCTGTGAGGCTCTGTATCTCCAGGCAGTAACCATGGATGGCATCCCTGAGAAGCTCCAAAGGGGTATAAAACCCATAGGAGAGACCTTGGAAGCTATTGGGACTGGCAGTGATAATCTAGCATGACCTTACAGGCCCAAAGTGGAATAGTTTCTCAGGAAGTAATAAGGGTTTTTTTTGTTTGTTTTATTTTTAAATGAGCACTCTCCTTCCCTCTTGCCCCAACACCACTATAAAACAGAAAAAAAAAAATACACCCCTTGCATCAAATATGCATAGTCAAGAAAAAAACAATTTCCACTTTGGTCATGTCCAAAAATGGATGTCTCATTCTGCATCTTGAGTCCATCATCTCTCTAATAGGGAATGAGTAGGGTGCTTCATCAGTGGCCACTATAAATTTTTTTTTTTGTATATATAGAGCCTTTCCTTCTTTCTTTGATCTCTTTGGAAGTATACGCTTAGTAGTGGTATTGCCAGGTATACAGCTTAGTGAGTTTTTGACAAAATTCCAAATTGCTTTCCAGAATAGAAAGTGAAATTCACAGCTCTACCAACAGTGCATTAATGTTCCTGTTTTCCCACAGCCCCTTCAACAACTGTCATTTTCCTTTTTTGTCCTTCTTTCTTTTCTGATGGGTGTGAGGTAGAACCTGAGAGTTGCTTTAATTTTCATTTTATACTTATTACTGACTTGGAATATTTTTTTCCTATTTCCATTGATGAAAACTTTGGCTGTATCCCCCCAAATTGGTATATTGTTTCATTTTCATTTTATTTAATGAAATTGTCTTTAGTTTCTATGATTTATTTTACAGCCTCCACATCCTTCACATTGAATTATTTAAATGCTAAATCAATGTCAATCTTTTTACCAATGGCCTTTTATTAAATATATTTGTGTTCATTTTTGTATATAAAAATATCTTTATTATTTCTGCTTTTGTTTTTGAGGTTTCAGCTGAGAAATATGCACACTCTTTTCTATTTCCACTGAGAAATTGGCAAGAACCTTTCATATCTTAAACATTTCTAAAATCCTATTCATGTTCTTATTTCTTGTTTATTATATTAGATGTATCTAGGTCTGAAGGGATGTGCATTGAGCTCCCCAATTATTACACTTTTACTATTTTTCCCTGTAACTCATTAACTTTTTCTTCAAGTATTGAATTGCTATGTCATTTGGAATGCGTTTGTTTTTATATACACACACACTGTGTGTACATATATGTATATGTATATACACATATATGTGGGTGTATGTGCATATACATAGACACAAAGAATATATAATCACTTGTATGTATATATATGTATATCCATATACATGGATGCATATTTGAATTTATTATGTGGTACCTTTAAGTATAATTTAGCTTCTCTGTTATCTCTTTTAATTAAGTCTATTTTTTTGTTTGTTTTGTGAGTCCCTTTTCAATGGAGAAGCTTTACAAAACTTTCCACTGTATGACTAGATGACCTTTGGGTTTATCTTTGAACTTGGAGATTCTGTGATACATGGATGACAAGCTGTCATTGATCTCATGGCAAGTCTTACAGCCCGGTATGATCTTCCAGAGGTTGTGACCCACTGGAAGAAAACATCAATAACCCAAATTCACTTTTTTTGTCCCAGTGAGGCATCAGAATATACCTTTAGTGAAAGAAATACTCATTAATTAATGAAGTTTTTAATGATAATATCCAAGAGAAACCAGCAAAGTATATGTGACAAAGATTGGCCCCCTGTGCCCATTTCCAGCCTGTTCTGCTTCCTAACTCATTTGTTGAGTTAATAGTCACCCATTGCCATACCTATCATTAATCTTTCCTCTGCATACTAGGAAAACAGAAGTTTTAATGTGGCCCAAATTACTGAAGTTTTCTGTTCTTTATTCTACAGCTATCACAAGAATGCGGTCATACAAGGGAGCTTAATCCAAAATAAAAGGGATCATATTTGGTTTGTCTCTGAGAAGAGATGAGATTAAAACATGTAGCACAATATACAATGTGAAAAATTTTAAATACTATTATTATGATTATTATTATTTTTGGTTAGGCAATGGAATTAAGTGACTTGCCCAGGGTCACACAGCTGGTAAGTGTTATGTGTCTGAAGCTGGATTTGAACTCAGGTCCTCCTGAATCCAGGGCCAGTGCTCTAACCACTGTACCTCCTAGCTGCCCCTAAAAATATTATTTTTTTAAAAATACTTGACTATTTTTTATCGATACCAGAAAAATTCACTCTTCTATGGCACATATCTGTTTTTCAATGAGTCAAGTTCCATGTTTTAAATGAAGAATGAAAGTGCCCAATGGATGGTAATACCCAAGGTTGTGTGATTTTCAAATTTTTCTTAGTATTTGCCTTGTCCCAGGTCTGTCTCTGAGGCACATTTAGGACTTTGATTTCACATTTATAGGACCTGGGCCAGCTCAACCTGCTCGGACCAAATGTACCAGAGACTAAAGTTGAAGAGTGAAAATTTCATTCAAAGTGTACTTAGGTTTAATGAAAATATTTTGGGTTATTATGACTTCAGATGTGCCAGTATAGGACTAGTACATAATATGGCTTAGAACAAAATATTGTGACACTCATTCAAATGGTAAAGAATTCAAATACACTTTTAATGGGCAAATTTCAAAAAAGTAATAGGAATTCTAGTAGGCCAAAAGCTCTATATATCAAGAGTGTAATGTATCAGTCCTAAAAGTAAATTGTCCAGGGTACCTGGAGTTAAGTGACTAGCTGAGGGTCATATCAGAGACAAGACTTGAACCAAGATCTTCCTAATTACAAAATTGACCCTCTATCTACTATAGCCAGAGAGGTATCAAACTTGCAGACCACTGGCCACAAGTGGTCTGCAAAACTCTTGTCAGAACCAAATTAAAATGTAATTGTGAAATGTTTAGCAAAATAAATAAAAAATATAATACAACATTGATAATGTTTATTTGTGGTTTTCTAAGTCAATATGGAGCCCACACTTTTCCTTTTCTGTTTGAGCGTGACATAACTGTACTACACAATGTTGTCTCTCAATAAGAAAAAAAACTATTACAAAAGCAAGCACAGTGTTCCAAGTAGGAGAAATGAGAAGTCCATCATATTCTTCTTTGGTCAGATTATAGGAAGGATATTGACAATATATTCAGACAAAGATAAGAGTGTGAGAAAACTGAAATCATAATATAGGAGAATTTTTATGAATGGAATGGGGATATTTAATCTAGGAAAAAAAAAACTTGAGAGAGGGGAAAAATATCTAATTTCAAATATCTGAAGGCTTGTCTTATGAAAGAGAGATTAGCTTGTGCTTAATCCAAAGTTACAGGGAGGCAGATTTAGACTATGAATACATTGTGGAACCTACATATATTCTAACTTTACTACTTAATTATAGTATTAAGGTACAGTTTTTATACATCCACCAGTTTTGTTTGCAAAGATCTCTGTAGCATTTACACATGTAACAATCATAAAAAGCCTTTAGCCAATATGGTGACATGAAGAGAAATACAGTGCTGATGCTGCTATTGGGAAATTAAGAGAGGGAGGTGAGAAAGAGAGATTTAAGAAAAAAAAACTAGGTAGATCTTTATATCTCCTTTACTTGGCTCAATCTTCTGCCTTTTTGGGGGGAGAAGGGGGAGCAAAATAAAATTGACGGAAAAAATATAAAGTTGGAATTAAAGACGAAACATAATATTCTGTAGCATCTTAATTGCCGTAGAAATAACAATCCCATTATTTAGCCTCTTGTTTTGAAATTGGTGGTAGGAGGGGTAGTGTAAACACAGCCTTCATTGGATAGCCACCTTGGTGTCCACCGGTTGCTACCTTCAGCTAGATTTCTAGGTAGGCAGAAACAGAGAAAAGCACCATTGGAGATAAAGCTGAAAGTAGATGCTAGATAATTCTCCACTTAGCCAACAATTATGGAAGATCTCCAAGATGAAGTTGGGAAAGTCAGGCTATGGAGTCAGACCTGGGCTCAAATTAAGGCTTTGCCACTCATCATAGGCAGAAGACTTAAACTCTAAGCCTTACTTTCTTTTTTAATCTGTAAAATGGCAAAAAAAAAAATTCCTTTACAACTTCACTCAGTTGTGATCAAATGAGTTGCTCTATTAATACACTTTGTAAACTTTAAAGGGTTATTTCAAGTTGTGATGACAAAGAAAAAGAAGAATGAAAAAGGATTGATTAAACAACATATATATATGTATATATGTATGTATATATATATATATATACATACATATATATGTATATATGTATGTATATATATGTATGTATATATATATATATATACACACACACACATATATGCATTGTGTTAAGTGCTAGGGATACAAAAACAAACATAAAGCACTGTCCTTGCTGTCCTCAACAAGCTTAGACTCTAACAGAGGGATAATAATGATAATGAGATGTTTTGTAGTTAGTGGGTTTTCAACTAGCACCCTGCTGAATGTGAAGCAAGTAATGTATTAATTTTTTTCCTCACTGGGTAGCTATTTTCCTGTGTATATTTATATTCTAAAGGGATAAAATATTGCACTTTTTAAAAAAATCGACTTTCACTG